AGCCAGGCACTTCCTGTCTCGGACTCCGGAACTCCAGCGGCCTTGTCTGGTCTCGAACAAAGAGTTCTTTCCTGTCTCAGCCTTTGCAGAAACGATCTCCCTTCCTGGAAATTCTCTCTCTCTCTCTCTGTCTCTCTCTCTCTGTCTGTGTGTTTGTCTGTCTCTCCACATAAGTACCTTCTATTTATCATTTGGAGTCAGTTTAAGCATCACATTTTCAAGGTTTCCTGAATTACATCCTCAAAACCAGGTCTTCTCCATTGTTTTCTGTGTGGCCAACCACAATCAGTTAACAGTTTACTTATCTTTTTTTCCCCTGCCCCCTTCACTATAACAACAGTTCCCCAAAGGCATAATCATACGTGAGGCAAGTCCATTGCCCCCTTTTCTGTCCTCCGAAATCTCCCTGGCCTCGTGATAGACACGCTCTTAGCAGTGGCGGGCACAGAGCCAAGCCGAGGCTCTTCGGAGCCGCCGCTGAACTGATTCGCTTGTCCAGTCAGTGATGCTTCGTGAGCACCTGCTTAGTTCTGCCTTTCCGGATGCTGTTTCTACAGAAGCTGCGGCGGGGGACAGGGAAGGGCCACCCCCTCCACGGTGCAGCCAGCCATCTACAGTGAATTTGTCTGCTGGAAGTCCTCATCAGCTTCCAGGTACTTCTGGCGGAAGCCTGTGGCCTACAGTCAGGGGAGCAGCGCCGACCCCTAGTACAGGTCCCCTCTCCTTCTCCATGTCTTCTCTCTTCTTCCACTGTAGGCTTTGCTCACCAAACACAGGAAAGCCTCAGCACAAGTGGCAACAGACATGTTTCTAATTGCTTTCTGTGTGTGTGGGTGTGTGTGAGAGAGAGAGAATCAGTAACAACAGTGGCTTCTGCATTGCTCACAGAGAATTGTAGCAGGTGTATTTCTAGCTAGCTGCTCAGACATTCTTGCTAGATGCTCAGAGCTTCTGGGTTCTTCCATGTGAGGCTAGTTTTTCCTAATTTGTGACTTCAACCCAGGTGCAGCAAAGTCAGGGGTCAACCCAGTCCTGTTCTCTAGGACAGGGCTCCATAAGAAACCCCCACTTCGCAGGTCATGTGTCCGGCATTGCCAACAGCGGCGGGGACGTTACTTGCTGTCGAGGCACTAAATGTAGCTGGGCGGGGCAGCCACGGCCTGGAATCCCAGCGTTTGGAAGGTGGAGGCAAACGGAGACGTTCCCAGTCTCAACTACGTGAGAGCCTGCCTTGGAAAACAAAAAGAAAATAGAAAGCAGAAAACCTTCGAAGTGCGGAGGAAGAGGACGCTGGGCTGCAATGGTTGGGCTGTGCTAAGATCCTCTGGATGGGGCCGGCCCGAGAGTTCATACCCGTCTGAAGTGTGGAGTCTTGGCTGTGTTTAGTTATTCTTCTGATTCCGCATCTCATCAGTGTTGTTCCCTCTGTATTTTGTGCCCATGGGGCTTACTGTTGAGGTTCCCCTTGGAGGAACAACACGAAAAAAGAAGCTAGGGTGGTAATTTCTTCTTCTTCTCTAGAACTTTGCTGCTGCTTATGTTTTAATGCTTTGTGCTCCAGTTTCTTCATCTATAAAGTGGGAAATTAGCAAAATTAATGAACCTTTGTCTTTTTTAAATGTCTTACAGAATAAGTGCAGGGCAAGTAAAACGCTATGGAATGCTAGCATGTTGCTAGTGTTTTTAAACATAATTTGAATTTTCCATTAATTAGAATTAATTCTGTGTATTAAAAAAAGACCTTTCCAATTAAATCACTGGTGTGCAACATGGAGTGTCTACTCCCTTGTTTTGTTTGACTTTTAATAAAATGGGTTTCTACACTATTTAGGGTAAATTCCTAATTTGAGTCTTCCTTTGGCCAGTTTCAAAGAAATAGTATTACCTTAGTCTCTCTAATTATTCTTATTTGTGCTAGAAAATTTTCTTTGATATTATGCCTTATCTCATTATTGAAAATCGCTTCACAGTTGAAGGTTAATAGCAATATTTATTCTAGGTAACGTTACAATGTGCTTTTAAAATACAAACAAATAAACTTTCATTAAACTACTATTTTAGTGAGTCACATTTTATTTTTACTCCGGATGCATGATGCCATTCCCTTCCCTTATGAATGAAAATTATCCTAAATGCCACTTGCCCAAAGTGGTAACAAATTACAAAGCTACATACATTTTAGTTTTCTCATGAACAAATAGCCACCTGGTTCTAATATTGAGCTGTGTACTAATGCTATTTCTTCATTTGTGACCCTGTTAGCCTTGCTATAATCCATTTTCTACTTGAAGAGTAGATTTGTGATATCCCTAGGTGTGCTCTGAATCTACATATCACTTTGTTTTTAAACAATATCTTTGGAACACTGGTTTGTTCTCCTCTAAGTATTGTCGAGAACATAACCAGCCATAGAAGACTGGCCAGAATGCCCAGTCCAGTCCTTGCTTACATGATGATGCCGGATGTTTGGAAATCAAATGCATTGACTCTGAACCTTGGAATCCATACATTTCTAGAATCACCCAATTTTAGTATGATTTCTTTTGACTATTTCCCTTCGACAAATAGTGGGGAAGTCTGCTTATCTCTCTCCCAACCTTAAAGAAGTCCACCAAATCAGTCAAGGACAGGTACCTGTCCTCTGTGATGTCGTCATGTCCCAGACTCCGCAAAGTGGGACTACAATCCTGGGAGCATGTTTCAAGGTGATGTTTGAGAGACAGCTGATAGCTATCGATCTGGAAGGCCTTGATAAGACAAACTCTGTAATATTTGCCTGGACTAAGTTTCTCAGGATGTTTCTAAATCCAAAATGGTAATTTGGGTCTATTCATATCAACATCTTTCTTTATATAACACTGTCAAATAATCAGCCTACTGATAATCTTTAAGTCTGGACAGCTACAAAATCAGTCAGTAGTCTGGATGGTACAGAGTCAAGTAAGAATCCACTATTTGTTAAACCTAGGGAGAGAGAGATGTAACCTAAGGTGAAGTCATCTAAATGTTTAGCACCATACCGTGGTCATAGATGTGAAAGTCAGTACTATCTTATTTTTTGGGAAAATGGCAAAGTTATTGACTATATTTAGCTCCATTCTACTCTTAGGAAGAAGGATCCTTGGCATGCTTGTCTCATGCATGTTGGTACAGACAAAGATACCAACCTCAAAACTCTACTGGCTGCCACTGAGCTGTGAGAAGAACATGGGAAAAGAAGGGAAATATGGCCCAGAAAAGAGCTCTCATGGCAAATCTGACTGTGAGGGGTAAGAGCCAGAGAATGTTTAAAGGAGACGCGTGGGACAATGTGGTGATCATTTTCTGTCATCTGAGAAGACAATGGCAACTATTGAATGAGCACCATTAGGTGTCCATTCACAAAGCTTCCATACCGCACACTCATGCTACCGTCATAACACTGAATGGAGTAAGAGGTAATCTACTCAAGCGAAGAGCATCGGCCAATAACACAACATTTGCTCCCATTTTAGGGAAGGAGATTGAGGGAAGCCTCACACTACAGTCACCTCTGGTGCACACTCAAGAACTCTCCATTCAGCATGACCTTTCCCCTCCCCGTCTCATCACGAATTGTGCTTGAGTCATAGACCTTACTTTCTTTCCCCCTTACAGTGTAATGGGATCACATTACAGTGTAATGAGCCTTCAGGATCCAAGCTCTCCCTCCACCTCTTAGTGACGATTTTTTGTTTTGTTTTATTTTGTTTTTCAAGACAGAGTTTCTTTGGATAGCCTTGGCTGTCTTGAACTAGCTTTGTAGACCAAGCTGCCTTGAACTCCCAGCAATCTGCTTGCCTCTGTCTCCCGAGTGCTAAGGTTACAAGCATGCACCACCAAACCTGGCTTCCTAGCAGCAATTTTCGAATATCCGTTTCACTAGAGCTCTCCAGGGTCCCCAGACTTACACATTCACATGCAAGTTTTAGCACAAAATCCTTATCAGTGAGAGGGAGGGAGAGTCAACAAGAACAACCCACCTCCAATTCTTGCTCACATACATTTTCTATCCATGGGGTCTGAGTAAGTTCCTGATTTCTTAAGTCATTGCATGAAATGATAACAGCAACAGAGACAAAGCTAAGATTAGAGTTCAAGATCCCCTAAGTCCACACTTCCACCTTGGTTGAATAGTCTGGGGTATTTTTTTTTCCTGGGGATGTAGGCAAGTAAGAGGGCTGATCCTTGCTGAATTCTGCCTCCCAAGAAAGGCAAATCTACATAATGACCTAAGATTTTCTCTTTCCGGCATCTGTTACATGTAGGCTGTTGGGAGCTGAACTTGTTTGGAACTCCACAGAGAGGCACAGGAAGACAGGATCTTTAGAAAATGTGTGCTGACCACATGCTGGGGTTCCCCTGACTTCTTAGCATTTGCAAATTACAAAGCTTTTTACACAAAGTATTGTCAAAGCAGATCTATTAGGATGGATGGAGGAAGGCTTCCATAACATGCTACCTAGAAAACTTAATAAAAGGGGTTGGTGTGTTTTCCCCTAAGTCCCTTTCTACATGGGCCTTCAGGTAGAATCTTTCTTTTGATCCCATCACTCAGGAAGACCTTGGGCTTGTACCTGCCTGCTCTGAATCCTTTGCTAGGCAGGGTATTTTGCACCAGCTAGAAGTTTGACTTACCAAATCTGTTTTTAACAAGGCAAGCCTCTTCCTACAGAGGGATTCTCACACCATCTGCAAGAACATAGAATCTTTTCCATATGTGCATCTTCCTTATTATTTGAAAGGTAAGAGTGTGCTTCTGTTGAATTTAAGTATAGATTCAGATTCATCTATTTCTCAGATAATTAAGGAGTCTTTAATGTCAGGCAGTGGGCTAGAAACTGAGGCTATGAGATGAGCCTGACCAGATAGGTGCCTGTCGGTGGTGAGCTGACAGTACAGTGGGGAAGAGAATTTAGAAAGCAAGCCTTGGGCTCGAAGCCTTAGTGTGACTCTAAGGTATGTGCTGACTGTGGCGAGAACACTCCCGGGAAGCCCACCCGCCTGCTGACAAGCAAATTTAGGAAAGCTTTCTAGAGAAAGGACCCTTACAGCAGCGGCCTGTGCGATGGTGTGGGGCCTTGGAGGAAAGCAGAAGCACTCGTGGGAGGAGACTCCGAGTTCAAAGCCTGCGGTAGGAGGGGCAGCGCAGCTTGTACCCGCTACCTCATTTATGATGGAGGCACAGTAGAAGGTGTCACGGGTGGCTGAATCACTCATGCGTGAGGACGGTAACAGAGTGTTGGAGGCCAGTCAGTTAATGTACTTAGATTTTGATTCTTCACAAGGAACTTTACTGGATGCAATACAAACCCAAACCATACAAAACAGCCGTGTGGTGATTACTGTTTTGGTTGGGTTCAAAGTGCTAACAGCCCCAAATGGCCAGGCTCCTCCGTGCTCGGGGTCCTGGAAAGCCACGTATAGCAAGCAGACTGGTGGTAAGGGAGAACCCCACAGCCTGAATGTTTTGGTTTTCTTCCAAAGCACTTCCTTTCATTCTGGAAAACTTTGAAGACAGTATTAGTCCAGCATCGTCTAAAGCCACGGTTCCATTAATTATGCATCTGAAGTTCTTGGTGGCTTCTTTCTTGTCAGGCATATGAGTCTGAAGGAACAGACGAGATGATAACTCTTTGAATAAATTATTATAAAATATTTAGCTTCAAGGAAAATACCAACTACAATAATAATGTTAAGTGTCCAACACTAATTTTGGACTGATTTCCTGTATAATCTACAATATTCCAAAATAGTTTTATCTATTTTGGAATCTACAAAATTCCAAAACAATTTTAAAGACTAAACTTCCTATAATTGGTAATTTGGTTCTTTTTCAATAGATAATAGGTTCTACCTAACAAAGCTGTGATTTTTAAAAATTGTGTATCAGAAAAGAGATTGGGATGTACAAAATAAGTTCATGTCAAATTTTAGTTTGTGTATAAAACTGTTAAAACTAACAAGCCAGGTAATTCCAGTTCGAGGGCAGCAGAGCTGAAGTTCAAGGCTAACCTTGGCTACAGTGTGAGATATAAGTGAGCTTGGACTACATAACAAGACTCTGCCTCAAAAACCAACCAACCAAACAACAAAACACAGCTACATATCACACACACACACTGACACACAGAAGCACACACACACATATAGACACACAGAGGCAGACATACAGAGACAGATACACACAGCTATATACACACAGAGACACACACACACGCAGAGAACACAGACACACACACACACAAAACATAGAGCAGACATGATGACAGAGAGAGAGAGATAGAGAGAGAGAAAGAATGTGTTAAGTGCTGGCATGTAATTACTGTGTACCAAGTGCAGTTTTGCTTTCACTTTGCCATTTGTCTTCAAATAGACCGCAGTCCTGACCACTATTAGTCTTAATTCTCACTACTAACAAGGCAGCCAGGAGGCTATCCTGACTTGCCTCACAATCTGTCTAAGCATCAGGGCTGGAATTTGAACCTGAGACTCTATAATACAGAACTCTTTTGTTGTTGTTGTTGTTGCAAGGGTAGCTGCTTTTAAGTGATCTTGGGGCTTTCAGTCCCTTCTTTTAGACTAGGTATTATTGGATATTAACTTTGGGAGACAGCTAAACTGTAGACAATACAAGGAGACTAGAATAGAAACGATAACTCATACTTGATAATCCCATAATCCCCACCTGTGTCAAGCTGTGGGTTGTTGTCACTGAAGCAAGTCTGAGTGCTTCTGCCAGCACCAATTTTTTTCTGCAGTGGAAAAAGTATAGTACAATGATAAGTAGCAGCTTAGCTTTGAATTCCCAATCCGCCATTTACTAGCTGTCATTTACATACTTACATAAATATGCACACAGACACACACATACACATGCACATATATGCTGGTAAGTTTCAGTGTCCTCATCTCCAAAATGGGGATATCTTATCTACCTTGCAGTGGTAGTGAAGCTTACCTAGTCAGCATCCGTGGGTATGTGCCAAGTGTTAGGTGAAGAATGGCTTTAGTTATCGTGAAATCTGCTGCCTCTAATGCTAACACATCAAAATGAAAGTCGCCACAGGTTCAAAGGACTGCAATAGGTTTCTCAGTCCTGGCACAGTAGTTTGTATACAGACATTTCCTCCTCAAACATTATTCACTCAGCCTTTCTGAATCTATGTTTGAGTTTAAGGTCAACTGTTGGTTCTGGTAGTCATGATTAGGCGGAGGGTTTGCTGGCTCAAAGTGCCTTCTCATAAGCAAAAGCGTGTCTCTCCGAGTCAGGTGTCCACTTGACTCTGTTTCACACTCAGAACCACATGGCTTTTTAGTCACAGGTCATTTGCTCGACTCCTGGAGTCCACAGTTGCTTCACACCTGCTCAGAGCCCTGTCTGCTGGATTGAACTCATGCCACAGGCTCAAAGATTATATTTGCCTTTAGAGCCCAGGAAACAGCTTGGCTTTCAGGCCCGACACCAAAGGTCTGAGCACAATGCTCACTTGAGTCACGCAGACAAGTTGATCCCTTGTTTATTGGTTTGTCAATTGATTGATATTTAAAACTTGAGGCTTCTCAAGATCATCCAGGCTTCCTTCTCTGGCAATCCCCAGGGCTAGGCATTACTTAGAGCCTAGAAGGGCCCAGTAATTCCTCTGTCACATTTTCTGAGATACAGCAGATGCCACAGAAGCTTCGTTTTGTAAGAAATAAATCATTACAAGCCATTTTCAGCATGGAGTGTGTTTATTGCTCACCAGAGAATCCCAGACAAGCAGGAAGCACTGGGTCCTACTCTCCTTAGCTGGCATCTGGCACCTACTTGTCCCAGTTCATAGGGTTAAAAGCTACAGTCAGTTGCTACATAGCTGAGCAGACATAGTAGAAGAGAGAAACATTGGTAAGGTTTTGTGTCCTGAGCCAATGGGACAGGGAATTTGGGGAAGAGGCAATAGTAGATAACAGGAAGGTTATATATCTCCCTAAAAAACTCAGCCAATGAGAATTAGAGAGGGCAGAGAAATTTGATTAGAAATATAAAATCCACTATTTTATGCCAAATTGGCACACTAGTCATTTTTGCCTTTTGTCTGGGCTAACCCCCAACTTCTATAGAACCCAAAATAAATTTCTCTAGTTTTTGATGTTCTGAGTCTCCAGTAATCTTATTATGAAATGAGGATCATTATTTCTCACAAATTTCAAGCATACAATTCATTGGCAATTATTAATATATTCTCAAAATTGTGAAATAATCACTAGACTGAATAATTCTTTTTTCATAATCCAATCATTTAATAATGAGCTATCTCTACCATTTACCTATCTTTCTGAACACAGTGAATCTTCCTTTACCAAATACATGCACACAATGACAGAACCACCTTTTTGCTTAGTATCAACTCACCTGTGTATAACTTGCTGATGTGAAAACTCTTGAATTCTGATTGGACAGTTTGCTCTTCGGGCTACTTAGTGCACACTAATGTAGGACTGTTAATGCGGATCAAGTTTCCTTTTTCTTGGATTTTTTTCCCTACCACGCTCAAGGATGAACGGAATGAATGAAATGACTGTGAAATGCAGATTCCTCCTCACTTGTTCACGCTCTCTTCGCACCTAGCCTTCTCTTGGTGAGTATGTGTAACACACACTCAGAAAAGTCTTCTTGCAGGGATCATAACCAACCTTCTCAACCTCACTGCCCATTGATATTCCTATCAAGTAGCGGTAGACATGTCAATCTCCGTATGGTTCTCATGCAAAGGTCCCACATTTGGCAAGAACCAAGTATTTTTTGTCAAGAGTTATAAGGAAGCTGAGGGCTGACGCCACACTAAATAGCCTTTGTTTATCATGTGTATGTCTTTAAATTTATAATGTTTTCAATTTTTTATAAAGTCATTATGGTACTCTTTTTAAATATATGGATTTCCATTGCACTGAACCCTATTAAACAAACAATATTCCAGTTTTTATTGGACCCTCTCCTTCAGTCACTGTAAGTCCTGAATTGCTTAGTGTTGAGCACTGTAACAACCTGCGGTAGGCTATCCCCAAAGGGCCTTCAGTTGTCTCCATTCTAGCTCCTTAAACGAAGACTTCATTCTGTGTCACAGAGACACTCACACACATACACAAAGGATCCCTAAAACAGAAGACAAATGCATACATAGTTTATGTATAAAGAAAATGTCATGGATCACTGGTGTCCATGTAGAGTTATTTTTCACTTGTAACACAGTATTTATATCTGCATAATAATACGAATGTATGAACACATGATGGGCCAGAGCCAGGAAAGCACCAGCCAGTTAATGCTCATATAGACAGAATGACACTGGCAGAAACAGCCCTTCTCTTATTGGGTCATATTAAGGCAATGGTTTGGGGACTCTCTGGGGAAGAACAAGACTCTAGAATACATCAGATCAGGCTACAGTTTTTCCTTCCTTTAAATGTTGATAAAAGATACCTGAAAAGAATGAAAACCGTGCTAATAGCCATTCAGCAATGTTAATGATGTCATTACTTTAGGCAAGAGCATCTAGCTTAAAATTTTCATTAAATTCCGTCAGAAATCGTTCAGATGCTCTGGTGTTGTTTATCACGCATTTAGGTACTTGCAGCTGCTAGAGACCATGTGGTTGAGTGTCTCATGGTCTGGGCAAAGGTCCCTTGCACTCTTGGATGATGATCAGTATAGTTACGTGTGCAAATTCCCTTGCAACAGAATCAAAGAGCATTGAAATTGTTACATATTGCTAGCCCTCCATTGTACCAAATATGCCTGAATTATGCAAGTTATTGGCTAAAGTTGGGATTTTTTTTTTAATTGAGGTTTTCATCATGATGGTATTTATTGTAAGGGGATCTGAACTGTAATATAACACAGTTACAGTCATAAATATAATTATGAGTGTGTGAGTGCTGAGGGAATACAGCAGAGGAGATTAATTAGAGACAGGTAGTTCCAGCACTTCCTTCTCCAAGGGCTTTGGGCTGATGCACGGGGAAGTCTTGTTTCTCACTAGATTTCTCTTTACCCCTAGGGACTCTCCTATACCAATAGCTATAGACAGAAGGGGAGGTCTTTCATCTGCTCTCAAATCAGAGGGACCCTCTGTGCCGTTTGTAGGAGTCTCATGTTACTCCTTTAAAATTTCTACTGGTACTGGAAAATACTGTCAAACTCCCAAAACTGTATTAATAAAAAGTATGTTTAACAATGGACCTAAAGAATTATGAAGCATGCGTGGGTCCTGACACGGCTGTGGCTGGGACACGTGGCCACTCTCATGTGTCTACTCACACATGAGGTCTTATATTCGAGTAGGGATGTGACACGCTGTCTCTTTCTGTCTCTTCGACCCCATAACATTTTATGGTTTCACATATTTAATCAGAGACTCCTAATGTTGAAGAGCAGGTCCATTAGCAGGCATAGGATTTGCATGTCAGTAAGTTATCTGAATAGATCTAAACAGTATGATCACCGCTGACAGTAAAACTAACTCAGGGACATAAAGGCAGGCGCTCTGATATTTGCTGATACCATGAAGGGATGCAATGGACTCCAACAGCAGTTAGAAATTCCTGGACGACTTGACTGCAACCCCTTGATCTCAAGGTTACTTTGATGTATCAAGAAATATTTAATTGCCACCAACAAGATGCATGACAAACTAGCAGGGGCACACATTAAGCCACAAATGAGAACTTTGTGCTTGTAGCCCCCAGGATAATGATCAAGTACATTGCGCTGACCATTAACTGCCCTGACAGTAGCACGGGGGGGGGGGGGGGGAGGAGTCCCTGCAACCCCACAGGAGTCCCTTGAACCCTTGGCTCTTTGGTGTCCCAGGTTGGCTTCCTCTAACTTGCATGTGAAAGCCTCACAGGAGGGTGTTTCAAATGAGCAGTTTCCAGGCAATCCTGACTTTAGGAGCAAGGACTTTCTTAAAACTCATGTCGATATTCTTTCAGTACCAAAGCACAATCAGTGACTACTGAGAGTTGGAAGTCACCATCAAGCAATTCCAGTCACCTGCATAGTTAAAGTGCCAGCGAGCACTTTTTATACTACTGAAAAGGTGAAAGCACTGAAGCACCAGCGAGGAAAACCTTGGGCAGGATGTAGCAGTCCAAGTTAAGAGGAGGAGTAAGGGTGATGTGGGGTCCAGGGCTTCACACAGTCATTAATTGTCGTCATGTGATTCAAATGCTCATTTCTTAAATCTTCACTCCAGATTGAGGTGTCCTCATTTCAGCTACAGATAAGTAGTAATGGCAACAGGGGAAGGAGAAAAAAAAAAAGAGAGAAAAGAAAAAACAAGAAATGAATAAAAGGAAGGAAAGGGCTAGGGTTGTTTGCATGTGATAAAGGATCAACAGTCTGTTGTTTGAAGGTGTCGAGAACATTTCAACGGTGTTTTCCAGCCCCAGACCCCAGCAGCAACCCGACACGAGGCTCCAGAAGCGTCACTGCACAGACAGCATGGGAAACTTTCGCCTTCAGTATGACAGCCAGGCTGCAGAGCATATCACCCTGAGGGTCGTCCCTGTGATTACACAGAACCAAGGGAACATGGTCATTTCTTGGCGTTTTAGTAACACTGATGCAAAGTGTGAGTGAAATTACAGGTGCCAGTTCCCACTGCAGAGCGCTGATAAACAAGTCCCCATTTCGCAGTGGCTGGTCACATCTGAGGCCTTTAGGGATGCGAAAGTCCTGGAAGGATTATTGCAAAAACTTAAAGACACTTTTGCTGCCATTACTTTGTTTTTAACCTAAATTAGTGGGGTTTGGGGAGGAGGGAGGTGCTTTTTTTAGAGAGCTGTAATGCTTATATCATACACCTATTTAAACACTAATCAAATAGCAAGATTGGAAAGGGGCTTAGGTATGGACTAGTTGCTTGGAAACTTTTCCAAATTGACCTTAAATAATCAGAGAACAATATAAAACTATGGAATTGTGGATTATGGTTCTTAATAATGAACACTATCATATTCTTCAGTTAAAATAACCTGCCTGGACTTGATTGATCATTGTTGATAAGCTCTTTTATAATGTAATTAGCATGCAATGTGGACAGTGTCAGAATCAACATAAGTAAAAGAACATGG